CAGATTATTCTGTTTGTGACTCTGTCATCACATTTACTGCACTCTGTACTCTATCCCAATCCCCTTTCCGCTTGAAAAGGTACTCTGCCATTCCCCCCACCCAAAAAAATGCCTCCTAAAAAAAGCGCGTCCAAGGCCGCCGCAAAGCCTTCGACGTCCACAACCAAGAGCAGCACTACCAAGAAAACTACTGTTGCGAAAACTGGAAACAAAGATCAGCCTGCGAAAGCTACTGCGGCTTCTCAGGTTAAGGCAACCTCGAAGAAACAATCTCAAGCCATTGATGCATCTGCAAAGTCGCGCAAATCTAAGGCCACTAGTGCCACTGCGGCAGCTGCTACCAAGAAGCGCAAGGCTGAAGAAGTCGATAAGGAGCCCGATGTCAAGACTAAAAAAGCGCGTGTTACTCAGCCTCCGGTCAAGAAGCTGAAACCGAAGGTGGTCATCAACCATGCGCCCACTGCACGATTGAACGTCTATGTTTGTGGTGAAGGTAGCTCAGGCGAACTCGGGCTCGGCGCGGCGAAGAATGCGGTCGATGTGAAGAGACCGCGTCTTAATCCCCACTTGCCAGCGGACCGGGTGGGTGTGGTGCAGGTAGCTGTCGGTGGCATGCATTGCGTCGCCCTTACGTATGATAACAAAATCCTTACTTGGGGCGTCAACGATCAGGGAGCTCTTGGGCGCGATACTACGTGGGAGGGTGGCTATAAGGACATTGATGACAACAAAAGTGATGCGGACTCGGACTCGGACTCAGATGATGACAGCGGTCTCAATCCCTACGAAGCTACTCCCACTGCCATCTCGTCCGACGCATTTCCTCCTGAGACCGTCTTTGTCGAAGTCGCTGCCGGTGACAGCTCCAGCTTCGCTCTCACTGATGATGGCCAGGTTTATGGCTGGGGAACATTCCGAGTAAGTTACGCGCGGCATCTTCTTCGTACTAATTTCATTTTCTGTTCTTTTCTCTCTCCCTCCTGTGCGAATGTCACCTCAATGACGCGCTAACGGTGTCTCCCCAGAGCAACGACGGTATTCTAGGCTTTGATGCCAAACACAAAGTTCAGCCGACTCCCACACTGATTCCGTCCCTCAAGAAGATTAAGCACCTTGCATGTGGTGATAACCACGTCCTCGCTTTGGATGAGAAGGGTGCGGTATTCTCCTGGGGATCCGGTCAACAAAATCAATTGGGCCGCCGCATCATCGAGCGCAACAGGTTGAACGGCCTCCAGCCGCGTGAATTTGGCCTACCAAAGAATATAGTCCATGTCAGCTGTGGCGCCTTTCATTCCTTCGCCGTCGACGCGACTGGGAAGGTCTATGCATGGGGCCTGAATAGCTTTGGTGAAACGGGTATTCGCGAGGGAGCTGGCGACGACGAGGCTGCCATTATTCACCCAACTGTCGTGGATCCACTTTCTGGGAAGAATATCGTTCAACTATGTGGTGGTGCCCATCACTCGCTTGCTGTTTCTAAGGATGGTCAATGTCTTGTGTGGGGTCGCCTTGATGGCTTTCAGACAGGCCTGAAGATTGATACTCTTCCAGATGATGCTGTTGTGAAGGACGAACGTGGACGGCCGAGGATCTTAATTGAGCCGACTCCTGTTCCCGGTATCAAAGCATCTGTCGTTGCGGCTGGCTCTGATCATTCAATTGCCATCGACGTCGACGGTCGCGCCTGGTCGTGGGGCTTTTCAGCTACCTACCAAACAGGCCAAGGCACTCAGGATGATATCGAGGTTGCGACTGTTGTGGAGAATACTGCTGTACGGGGTAAGAAGCTGAATTGGGCTGGTGCTGGTGGACAGTTCTCCGTCTTTACCGAACCAGCAACGGTGTAAAGACCACCACCCATCGAGCATTTTCTTCCTCGTCTCCTGTTTTCATCCGAAACTGCTCAAATTCGGCAGGTTTGGGCGCAATGCTAGCTGAATCTTGGATTTTAGTCCACCAAACATCACGCCATCTTTACTAATGTCGGCTCTATGCGAAATTATCTAAGATTGGCTCTGTACTTTATCTGCACCAATTTGATTGTCGGTACTGTTTTGTCAACGTTATCACCACACACAGACCTTTTGTTTCGGAGTAAACTCATAGCCCATACAAGTACCCTGTAAAAGGAATATTAAAAAGGCTCTAGATGAATCCCCTGAACAGCTATGGCTTGTCACCAGCTAGTGAGGAATATCATGTTGAATGCAAGTTATACTAGGAATTTGGAGAATTGGACTCTTTGATAAGTCAGCTCTGTAACTTCATCCCTGATACTACAATGGGAGGGAGGTTCTTGCCGGTAATCATTCTAGGTCATGCAATCAATTCCTCGAACCTTCCTGTTCAAAGGAGCTTTCAATAACAAGTTGGCCGTTAGCTTCAGGCAGAGGCATTGTTCATCAGGAGTAGCTCTTGTTCTTTTAAAAGTGCATCCAATTCATCGTCGTCGGGTGCTCCCAGGTTATCGAGCTGCTGCGCGACATCATCGTCATCTGTCATAAAGAGCCCCTCGTCTAATCCGCGTTGCCGCGAAGGACTTAAAGTATCTTCAATGTGCATCCCCTCTGCATCAGACGTATGGTCACCAGCAATATCCCCTCTCGATCGTTTTGTATCCGCCATGTTGAGACCATCAAATGCTACAACAGGATCATCGGACCGACTTCCTGATGATTCGGAGGCTTGCAGGGCATAATTATGATTTTCTGACGTGATCTTTAGCTTCTCCTCGTCTATCCATTCCTTTCGCATCGCTTGTAAGCGTTTAGAGTGGCCGAGTCGCTCAATTATGGCAAGACCATCCGCGAACTTTGCACGGGGGAATAAGTCGTCAAGCCACAATTGGTAAAAGTTCAACAAGCGTGCCGCGTCGGAGAACTATAACATTAATGCGAGTTAGAAATGCAACACCGACAGAAATGGCGTTCTCTGCTTCGCCCACCTCATGCCCTTTCCCTTTGAATCTCAATTTCTTCTTGGCTGTGCGGCGCAACTTTGGAATACCAGGCTGTGACAGTAGACTTGCGCCGAATAGATTCAGCATTTATACCATGATTGAGCCTAACAAATTAACTTACCGACTCTCATCTAACTTTGCAACAGGTTGCCGCTTTTTGGTCACTTTGACCTCTTCGTCTAGGCCTAAACCGAGTCCTGATTCATCTCGTGTAGAAGACTGCATGGGAGCGCCATTATTTGGCATATTCGGCGTCTCCTGCCACAGCTCATCCAAGCCGAAGTCATAATCAAAAAGATCGTCTGCACGGTTTGGCGATGCTGGTCGATCGTCTTGTAGTGTGCCTTGATTCTCCATGACTCCAGATCTGTACTTTCGACCAAGCCAGAAGATATGACGTGTATCTGGAAATTTATGTCAAGATTGGGAGTTAGGGATTCAATAATGTCTTCAAACAGAGCAGAGTAAACTGCATTTGTTAACCTTCAGATTATGGAGCGGCCTAATTGGGATTATCTACGCGTCACAAGGCTCAGACGCGTTCTGGCATGGATGTCAATATATCGGTTTCTGGTTAGGCTCCGTATTGAATACACGACAGAAATATAAGGTACCTTACCTAAGGTACGGTAGGTTACCTTACATTTTTTTATAATACCTTAAAATATGTTACGCTCACCTGAAATTCTCTCCTTATACTCCATAGGTGTTCTTGGATATGCTTCTCTGGTCCATTACTTAGTAGTCCACAGTCACCTTCAACTCCCAGTACTCTTAAGTTAATGATTATCCAGAGTACTCCGTAACCTTTTAAGTCCTGCCACTGCATGCTGTATGATCACTGCGATTTACACGTTGATCTCGCAAGTCAACCATGACATAACTATGTACATTGCTTAGTAAGCCCAAATCTTCTACTAGTCCAAGAATAGTAAGGGTAATATTGGTGCTGCACCTCACAGTTCATCTATAGTGACAAACCGCCCATCCAGTCGACCAAAAGTGAACCTCAGGGCATATACACCCGCGGTACCCTCACAATGGCTGCTGAAGGCAAAAACGCTCTTATCCCTCCGAAGCGGGCTAATACCGACTACCCGGTGCGTTTAATTCATCTCCTATACAATTTCGCTTCACATTAATCGCTAACCTTGTGTTGCAGCTCATCGACTCTGATCCGTATGTCACTACCCTTCGCTCCAGCGCTCAACTGTGGAAGCAGATATTCACATCAACATAGGCACCTTAGAAGAGTTTTCGGATATGCTAGACCTTCTGATTATGCAATGGCTGGGGGTATGGCCGCTGCCTCCCCTCTCGCATTCTGGGCTATGGAGAGGGTAAGCCCTTCCCATGTGGGCCGAGGAGGCTTTGCTCCTGTCATGCGACTGGCGACAGCAATTGGTTTGATTGGCGGTCTACACATACTTTACCAGAGATCTTGCAGTACGTCGACGCAACTGAAACCCTCTGGTAGCACGCATTAACCCGAGCATAGACCGTTTCTACGGATTTACGGAAAATGCCCGAGAGGTCGAAATGGACATGAGGGAAATGGTCGACAAAGTCAAAAAGGGCGAGCCGCTATACGGTACATCACAAGTATCCTCTTACCTACAAGGTGTTGCGGCCAGGAATTCGCGGTACTCGCAGCTTTTTATCCATGTCCTTCCTTGGTTTAACATTGTCAATCACGACCAGGTAAGCCTTTCTATTTCTCATCACTGTCCTCAGAATATGAACACAGTTCGCAGTTCGCTAACGTACGGCAGCATGGTGTTGACACAGCAAAATATTATCAGCAAGCTGAACGTGAACTCGAAGCCGAGCGCTTGACGACAGCCGGCTCTCCCTGAGTCTTTGTGCTTGTAGAGTGTTGTCGAACCTTGTCAGTCCTCGACACTGAACATGTTTTGTGTATCCTTTGTATCCTATTGCTCTTCCCATGTACTCGAAATACAGCTACGTGAACAATCCCCTTCAGCAATATGGTGACGAAGTAGCAAGTTCGGCGGCGACTGCATGCCACCATTCCCGCCTAAGACGCAAGATTCAGAGCGTTATCCTCTTCGGGCATCGTCTTGAGTTCTCGATTCTTTTTTGGCCGTGGTTTTGGCGCTCGACGATGTCAGCAAATCTCTCAGATCGTGCATACTCCATACACTTTGGACGCCTACCTTTCTCATTCTCTTGTATATAAAAGCGCCTAAGTAACATTATTGCTTCTTTGCGGAATAATCCTCCATAGACAGGATATGGTGGGTCTACCGTGAAGCTGATATAGGTAGCAGTTTAGAAACGGGTCAGGTTTTCAAGACAGATATACTCACTCAGAATGCAATGACAAAATGCTTCCTGTGCCCCCGAATCTATCATTGGCGCAACCAAAATAGACTGCTCGTATTTGATACTGCCTTAGAGCGGAAGCACACATTACGCATGGCTCGACTGTGACATACAAGTCCGTCGAGCGGAGCAATGACTTGGGGTGGCTCCGGAGCATTTCTTCAATGGCGATGAACTCGGCATGTCTTGTACCCTAATGGCAGTGAGCTATAAAGAAGTTGAAACAAAGAAATGAAACAAGCCGAGGTCCGGTAATATTCCCACAGCACCATGATGACTTGCAATGTGCATTGTATGAGCAAGATAGAAAAATCGATGATGTCCCGATTTTCTCGACCCAGGAACCACGACGTACATTCATAGATTTGTTGGTGTCATTCATTCCAGCACCCACTATTCTATCATGATGGACCAACACGCATCCAACTGGCGTTTCGCCAGACTCGAGCGCTTTCTCGCCCTACACAGCGTATTTGTGAGCGGTGATGCAGCCTTCGGCGAAGTATCGTACCATCAACAAAGCTTGCTTCATAAAATATGCATGCCTTGAATCTTCCTGCTCTGAGTCGGAAAGTCAACGAAGTGATCATCATGAAAATTTCCCGTTTATAACTCACCTTGAACCTCCATTGCGCCAGGATATAGAGAAAGAGTCGGATTGGTAGATGCGTTGTTGCTTGGTGAGTGTGCAATAATATCTAGAAGATTTTACACAGGCGATATGAGCATATCCCGCAACTGTTCGACGTCAACTCCTTCTCATTCCTTCTGACCTGATACATCATCGGTAGCCTCCTAAGAGCGTCACAATCCGAAAAGCAAAAGAATATCAATGCAATCTGCACGACTTTGAGTGACACAATCATAAGTGGATGTTTACTAAGACCTTTCTGATGGAAAGCCCGATACAGCATCTAATGTGTGATGTCACAAACACTACACGCCATGCAGATAAGAATCCATTGTTTATGGCTGTGCCGCCCAGCAGGATGTTATTATTTATGATAATTTACTATCACACACAGACAAAGTGTACCTATTAAGACGATGTTTCGTACCTACCTAGGGGAGGTAGAATGGGTTATCCATTTGTAACATGGTAACAGATAACTAAGGGTACCTGTACACTACCTTACGGCGTCGTGCCTTACTTAGGTACACTGTTACCTACTAATACCTTACCTCTCTAGTGGGGCGCGTCCCTTTGATAAGCACTCAATTATCTTCAGCTTCTAACGACTTCAGTCAATGCTAGAGAGCTTTTGATGCTTTCCCTATTACACATATGGCGACCAATGAGTCGTGGGTTTCCTATCAATTCACCACTACAAACGGCTTGTCAAGGTCTGCGGAACCAGCTTCGTCGATTCTAGCAGCTCAACTTGCGCCGCACCTGGTGTCTCAAGGAAATAGTGCCCATGGTTACTTGACTAGGGAAACCTTCTCGCAGCTGCGTCAAGAGCTGGTTGATGGAAAATGTAGCCAACTGCGCCTAGATGACAGCATCGCAGATGCTAGCAAACTGATTTGCATCGTGCTGCAAGCAGGCATCGAGCCTTGTGTCAAGGGCGATAGGTCTCTCCCGGGAGATTTTGAAGGCCAGATACTAGACTGCCTGGATATCATTCAAACAATTCTTGAAAAGTCACCGCAAGTTTTGGGTGAAATAAGTGACCCAACCATTTTGGGAGAGAATGCGAACGTACCTCTGTATGCGTGGCTAACATTGCGATTGCTAAACTTGCTCAGCTGGGAGGCGAATAACATAGGAAAGAGAATAACCTGCATATTCTCCAGCATCACACGCCCTCATTATAAGCATATAACGTTATTGCCATCCTGCTATTCCGCTCTAGCACTCCTTCGAGCGTGCACGAATGGTTAGTTGAATGATCAGACGTGAGTATGATTTATTTGGCTGATTGTGTCCCAGAAATCTTCCTTTCGCTCGAGAGTCATCATAACTTATTGAGACAGCATATGTCAGAGGCTAGACTATCGATACCGGCGGTGAAGAGTGCAATCTTCCTGACCCTGGACAATCTTAATCTTCCTCGAGGTCTTTTGAGTAAGAAGATTGCTCTCGGGACATTTCCCCAGACACTTACACTTGCTCTTCGATTACTGGGCTCCTTTGTCCCAAAAAGAGCATGTCATAGTCACACGAGCATCAAAGATTCTACCCTTCACCAAGACTTGGCTTGGTTCATAAATGGAATTGAACGTCTATGGAGAATTACCCATAGATGGGCGCGCACCTCGATAGATGATATTGAGATCAAGTCACGCATTTGTATGCAATTTACGTCCAGTCTACATATCTTTCGCTCACTCGAACCCGATATTTCCGGTCTCTTATCGCCAAGATCGGGTCTGGCATGTCCCTGGGTTCAGATCTTTAGCGATTTAGTCACATTGAGCCTGATTCAGATGCCTCATCTTCAGGCGGAATTGGGCCGGCTTCTTGACGGGTTGATCGACGCGTCTCAACATCGTATAGAAGTAGTAACTCAGTTAAGAGCCGCTCTTTTACCAACAATGACTGAGTTCAGGAGTAAGGGCACCGTTCAGTCTTTTGAGCCGGGGTTTCAGGTAGGCAAGCGAAAATATTTCAGCGATTATCTTTTGAAACTCACAAATTCAAATCTAGGCTGTGTTGCAAATATTAATGGGACCCATATCCGGAGATGAAAGTAGGAGTCTCGTCGATTTGCAAGAGCCAAATACTGCTGGTCAGACTGGTCAACAAGATGAAGTGGTTCAGCATGCTATGCTCCATGACATTGCGCGGCCACAAGAAGGCTCCGCCCGCCTTGACACAGCCCATAAACTTATTAGCAAGGCTTTTGAGCTATTGGGCTGTGAGGAATCCGTAAATGTTGGATACCTCAGTCGTGCTATCTCGTGAGTCAAGCATATCATGATATATCTTTTGGAGTGCTGACCACAGATGTGCAAGGGAGTCGTTCGTGGATCTCCCGGAACAAAAGAAATCCGACCTTTTGTATATGCTTGGCAGGATCGCATGTGCGATGGCTGGAAGCCTTTCAAGCTCGAGTAAGGCTGCTCCGGAAAGCTCACTATCTTGCAGTGTGTGTGAAAGTGAGAAAAGAGCGCTTGGTCCTGAGCCCGCTTCGAAGTGCCATGACGTTCATGAGCTATGTGAGATCTTCACCTTCGTTCTACCTAGACTTACACGAGCTTCCCATCTCAGAGTAACAGCAATGGACGCGTTGCGAAGGCTATTGATCCACGCTCCTCCGGAGTCTTCTTACCTGCAGCTGAAATCCTCTGTTTTCGGCGACTTCTGTTTGCACTCACTTCGAAGTTCGATTAGAGAACTGAGGATAGTCACTGGGTATGACCACTATCTCGCATTCTCCTTCTGATTATCCATTTGCCTTCATCTCTTTTTACATTTCACTCCCCCAACCATCCTTCTTCTTCTACAGTCGCCAAGGAGCTGATGATTTTCAGGCATCTGGTGACCTCTTTTGTTCGAAAGGATATCAACGGTGAAACTCGTCGAAGCAACTTTGTCGTCATACTAGAATGGCTGCGGAGCCTCTCTGAGAAGCAAGAACTCCCGCTGCATGAGACTTGCATTTTGACCTTGTGCCATATTGCAGAGTATGCCTCTTAACATCGAGTGAGTATCGTTTCTGAAGGCTGACCTGATCCCCAAAGGGTTTCCGACGATGAAGAGATGAATATCATTCTTCTTCGTCTACTGGAGTACTTGGGCCATCCAAATCCATTCATTTGCGCAGTAGCATACACTGAGGTATGTAGTCATTTAGTCATTCGTGTTTCGAGATGTTCTCCCCTTTTACCTCTTGGAAATTGACCGGCGACTGCATGCTTGTTTTAATGGTAATCTGCTAAGTTCCTCTAGCTTTCTAAACTTGCTCAGCATCTCTCTGTGACTCCTGCTGGTTTGTTCCGGCCTTTCTGGAGGACATTGTCGATAACGGTGGTGAAGAATTTCCAGTCCCGTCCTCACATGGCCGAGCAACTCTGTGATCTGCTGGGAATGAATGTAGATGATCTATTAAGATTAACTGAAGTTCACATCCTGCCATATCTTGTTCTCACTCGAAAACGAGACGTCATCACGAGGGTTGGTGCAGCCTACAAGGATGTCAAAACGCCTTTCGACATTTGCTCGGAGAAAAACAACCTTGCAGCGATTCTTGCTTTTTTGATGAGCCAACCATGGTCGGACCCGGAAGGTATGATCATGTCTGTTCTATCCGATATTGACTCCGCTTTCGGGGGACGCACTTTGGCGGAGCTCGTTAGAACGGAGCCAATCTTGATTGCTTGTGATCTGTTAAAAGGTCTTGGTGACTCAGGGAGTGAGAAAGGCGCACGGGCATGTGAGAACCAGTTCCTTCTTACATTGAGCTTTGTGCTAATCTGATAGACGTAGTTTCATCGAGCTCTCCATCTGTTGGCAGCCTTAGTTCCCCGCAAATCTACTGCTACATCGAAAAAGGCCAATTTGCTTTGCCATTTCATCGAGGAGCATGTTCTGGGTATAATCACGCAGTTCGCGCACGCAATTAACGACTTTCAAATAAGACAGCCTCTAATTGAAAAGAGGCGAAATATCTTGGCCATTGGTGAGATGATCAAAGTTGCCCGTGGCCATATCAGCAGCGCATTACCGCAGGTAAGTCGCTGTAGCTTTCAGTCAGTTTGAAGTCGGTAATTTGATCTAAGAAATGCAGATATGTGCGTGCCTGCGTTCCGCACTTAGCATCGAAGAGCTCAGTGATCATGCCTTTTCAGCCTGGAGCGTGTTGGTCAGCTCTCTGCACGAAGAAGAGCTCGAGCCACTCATTGATCAAACATTCTCAATTGTGATCAGATACTGGGACGCTTTCAACGATCAGAGCAAGAAGTCTGCCCAGGAACTGGTTGGATATATTCTCAGAAGCCACAGTGAACTTGTGCACACCAACTCCAGCACCATCCCCTCATTGGTTTCAATCCCTGCATTATCTGCGCTTGAAAGTGAGATCAGTAAGATGAAAGGGAAGATGGATGTTCGAAGTCAACTTTCGGCTTTTGCACGTCGCTGCCAAAGTGAGAATGCCGCTGTTGTTGAACAGGCGTTGAGAGAGTTATTGCCCTGTCTTTCAAGGCATGAAGAATTTTTGCATGAGTCTGTACTAAGTGAACAGCCTGACCCAGTCGTTGCACAGTTAACAAGGTCCTTGCTGGATTGCTGCGTCAAGTTCAATGCAGGTTGCGACAGCATAACACTTCTTTCGGCTCAATGTCTGGGTCTTGTAGGCTGTCTGGACCCAAATCGAGTTGATCCGGTCAAAGATAAAAAGGATATTCTCGTTTTATCAAACTTCGACAGAATGGAAGAGACCTTTGATTTCGTACTTTTTTTCCTTCAACATGTGCTGGTTCAAGCCTTTCTGTCGGCCTCCAATACGAGGGCCCAAGGTTTTCTTGCCTACGCTATGCAGAACCTGCTCAGACTCTGCAACCTCGATTCGGCCGTCACCCAGCGCTCCCGAGATATTCAAGCGGATGAAAAGTACCGTCGTTGGTCAGAATTACCTGAGACTGTGCGCAATACTTTGACCCCCTTTCTCACATCTAAGTATACGGTCACAGTCGGTGCCATAAGATCGCATTGCAAGTTCCCGATATTTTCCACAGAGCTGACACATGGCGACTGGTTGCGAAGTTTTGTGCAGGATCTGCTGCAAAGAGGAAGCGGTGACAACGCGCAGCTTATTTTTAGCGTTTGCAGTCGTATTGTCAAGGGTCAAGACATTTCAATCGCCAGCTTTCTCCTGCCATTCGCCGTACTAAATCGTATAGTTGGTGGAACCCAGGAGGAGAGGCTGGACCTCCAAAGTGAGCTCACAACCATACTCTCCCATCCACTTCCTGGAGCAAATAACCGGGTTCATGAAGCCGTCATACTATGCAGTCAGGTGAGCGTTCCCTTTTGTATCCTGAAAGTCTGTACATACTTGAGTTTCCCGCTTCTGACAATAGGACAGAGCGTCTTTGAAATTTTGGACTACCTTTCAAGGTGGCTACAGGGGAAAAAGAAGCTCCTCAACGGCCTCAAGAATCATGCATCTCATACTGGCCGTTCTCACAAGGATTCTCATCGAGATTCATTATCCGAAACATATTCGTCTCAGGTCAAAGCTGTGGAAACCTTCTTGACCTCGATACCTCCAGAAGTCATTTCGAAAAGAGCGGTCGAATGCAAATCATTTTCCAGGGCCTTATTCCATTGGGAACAGTATATCCGCCGATTCAAAAGTCAATCCGACAAGAATGACCACACAGGCGCTGAGCTTCTCTACCAACATCTCCAAGTGATTTACAGTCAAATTGACGAGCCCGATGGTATTGAGGGCATTTCGACTCATTTGCACATGCTGAATATTGACCAACAGGTCCTCGAACACCGCAAAGCAGGCAGATGGGTTACTGCGCAAAGTTGGTACGAACTGCAAGTCGAAAAAGAACCCGACAACGTTGATGCACAGTGGAATCTTCTTACGTGTCTTCGAGAGTCAGGGCAACAAGGTAATCTCCCAATAAAGGACTGCCATCAATGTTGGCGATAACTAATCAGGCTCAGATGCCATTATTGCTAGAGTTGACACGCTCAACTCAGCAGGCTCAACGTCGAGATTTCTTCCCTTTGTTGTGGAAGCGTCCTGGATCACAGGAAATTGGGATAAGCTTCGCAGTTACCTCCAAATGCGCTCACCGGAAAATACTGGAGACTTCAATATCGGGGTCGGATCGGCTCTTTGTGCGCTTCGACTTGGAAACAAGGCTGAATTCCGTAACATCATTCATGATCTGCAGCTCAGTGTCGCCAAATCGCTGACTGTGAACTCGGTTACTTCCCTACAATCTTGCCATGACAGCATCCTCAAGCTGCATGCCTTGACTGAAATGGAACTTATTTCCGATTGTGAGAGCAGCGAAAACAACTCGCTCACTTGTATACATGATGTGCTAAATCGGCGGCTTGACGTCCTTGGGGGATACATAGCTGACAAGCAGTACCTGCTTGGATTGAGAAGGGCCACAATGGAATTGACGTGAGATTCATTTCTACCATAAATGTTCATCTGAAGGATGCTGATATGAATCACATAGGCATGGTTTCATGGAGTCTGATATCGCTGGTTCCTGGCTTACTAGTGCACGTCTGTCGCGAAAGGGCAATTACACCAATCAGGCCTATCACTCAATGCTTCGCGCAGCTCGTTTGAAAGATAGGTCAGCTACTATTGAACACGCCCGTCTACTTTGGAAAGATGGTCACCATCGAAAAGCCATACAAACGTTAGAGGGTGCAATAGCTGCAGATGAATTTGCCTCAGACACGTCCTCATCCGGTGGGTTGAAAAGCGAAAAGCAACAGAACTTGATTGCTGCTAGGGTACGTACCATTGCTTATCCTCTGTGAAATGGCATGGAGCAACTGATATGCCCCAGGCCCATCTGTTACTGGCGAAATGGACGGACCGAGCGGGGCAGACCCAATCCGACGTGATCGTACAGAGGTACCGAGAAGCGATCAAACTTCACTCAAGGTATGACCGCACCATATCGGGGATTATCACACAGACTGACAGGGCAACAGGTGGGAAAAGGCGCACTACTACCTGGGCAAACATTACGACAAGATCCTGGAGTCTGAGAAGGCCAAACCCTTAGGAAAAGAGGCTCAGATATAGTAAGTGTATTCCTCTGATCCCCAACACTATGACTAAAGAATATTTCTAGCTTAAGCGGTGAAGCCTCAAAACTTGTAATTGATAACTATCTTCGCTCGTTGGCGCACGGGAACAAATACGTCTTCCAGTCACTGCCCAGAATTTTGACTCTTTGGTTAGAGCATGCTGCCACGGTTGATAAACCTTTCGACCCGAAAAGGGGTGATAATGAGTATTGACTCCCCTCCTTCCCATATCCACTTTCTCACTTGGAAAGACGCTGAACAATCTAGTAGAGAGTTCCAGACGCACACATTGAATCAACGGAAAAAAACTCTTGATGATATGCACTCGCAGCTAAAAAAATATCTAAACCGAATGCCCGCGGCGCTGGTTAGTCATTCATCCGCTCCCGGCTTCTGCTGAGAGACCTGCTTACAATAGCAGCTGTTCACTATCCTCCCTCAAGTGGTCGCTCGGATATGCCATCCCCATGCCACGGTTTACGAGCTCTTAACCAGGATTGTAGCGAAAGTAGTCAATGCTTTTCCCCAGCAAGGGCTATGGACAGTCCTTGCGGTTGTCAAGTCCTCCTCCAAGGATCGAGCTTCTAGGGGCATCAATTGTCTTCATAAAATCACTGTACGTGCGCAAAATCGCCCGGCTGAGGTCACATATTAAATAATTTCAAAGGAGGCAAGCAAAAAGTCCAGAACAGAATTACCCTTGGACATGCGGGGAATGATCAATCAAGGACAGAAATTCTCAGAGGAGATGCTCAAACTATGCACGGCACGAATTGAGGAGAAGGCGTCAAGGATCCATCTTGCCCGACATCTTGGGTTCAGCCACAAAGTTGCCCCTTGTCGACTTGTTGTTCCATTCCAGGCGATGTTGACTCCAAGTCTGCCGGCTAGCCATGAGACCGAATATTTGAAGGGATTCAGGGCTTTCCCCAGAGACCCTACGACCATTGATGGTACGCCTCAGACTCACTTGGGAGAATTGGTTGTGATATCTAACTCTTCACAGCCGTACTTGACGATGCACAAGTTCTGAGCTCACTGCAGAAACCCCGGAAAATCAGCATTCGAGGCTCCGATGGGAAAATATACAACGTCCTCTGCAAACCTAAAGATGATCTCCGCAAGGACCAGCGTCTGATGGAATTCAATAACACGATTAACCGATTTTTAAAGAGGGATGTGGAGTCCAGCAAACGGCGCATGTGTAAGTGCCATATCTAAAGCTTGTTGTCCAATGCTAAGGGATTTTAGATATCAAAACTTACGCCGTTACCCCCCTCAATGAGGAATGTGGTCTAATCGAGTGGGTTGACAATCTGAGAACATTGAGAGAGATCATTATCAAACTCCTCAAAGAGAGAGGTATCATGCCGAACGTATGGGAGAGTCCAACTACCCGTCGATTGATGTTAAACTAACACGACAACAGTATAACGAAATCAGACACTATCTTAACGAAGCATGCTCAGAGGCGTCAAAACTTCACTTGTTCACAACAAAAGTTCTGATGAAGTGAATATTCCCAATAATTTATACCCTTGATATCGATGCTCATTTCTCCCAGATTCCCTCCAGTTTTGCACGAGTGGTTTGTAGAAATGTTCCCAGAGACGGGGGCATGGTTTGCAGCACGGCTCCGTTATACCAGGTCCTGTGCAGTTATGTCAATGGTCGGATACGTCCTGGGGTATGCTGTCCTCGATTGCAGTCTCCGTATCTTCAATTATACTGACATTAGAGTCGCGCAGATTAGGAGACCGGCATGGCGAAAATATCCTATTTGAGGAAGGCACAGGTGGTGTTATACATGTTGATTTCAATTGCCTTTTTGATAAGGTAAGGTAACACTTTACGTTGTCCAGACACCCGAGACTGATTGTGATTGGAACAGGGCTTAACATTCGAAAAACCGGAATTGGTCCCATTCCGTCTCACCCAAAACATGATCGATGCTTTTGGGGCCTATGGGTATAATGGTTTGTTTCCTGAGTCTCTCAAGGATGAAGCGTTTGCTCAACTCTTGTTCTCAGGACCGTTCAGAAGGACATGTGAAATCAGCCTTCGCCTTCTGCGACAGAACGAGGATGCACTTATGACCGTGCTGGAGACTTTCTTACACGATCCAACCACAGATTTCATCGGAAGAAAGGTAAGTAGCTCGCCTACGATGATTTTCCTATACTGACGTGTCTCAAGCGTCGCACCCATGCAAGTGTTCCAGAGACCCCCGCTGGGGTGCTCGAGAATGTTCGCAATAAACTCCGAGGCCTTTTGCCCGGAGAGTCAGTACCTTTATCGGTGGATGGCCATGTTGATGAACTAATCACACAAGCAACAGACAAGAGAAACCTAGCGGCCATGTATATCGGTTGGTGTGCTTTTTTCTGAAAGAGAAATGATCCGCACATCAATGTCGATTTGAGACTAGTGCAGCTGTTCATGAGAGCAACTCATTCGTGCTTGATTGTAAGACTCATTATGCATTGATGATAGCAAAGCAGTTTACATTCCATTCAGCATAATAAATCAAGCCTTTTCTGAAGACTATTGTCATTAGGCCTAATAAAGCATGTAGGATGACCATGGCAATGCATGTGCACTTCAATAAGGGACTGAGGTATGGTACACAATATTTGTTTTTCCAGGTTATTTCCTCGACGCGTCCAAGCGATGAACTCGGCTCCTGCTCCGGCTTCTATCTTCATCGCTATGACTACTGTAACCATAACTGCTATAACTTGGACTGCGGCGTTTACGGTGCCTAGGACTGTCCACGCGGATGTGCGCTCTTCTCCTTGCTGGGGACCTAGAGCGCGAACCTGAGAAAGACGACAATGAGCGACGCCGTGACCTCGAGCGCGACAAAGAGCGCGGTCGGTATAAATCATGTCGCTCCATGGGCCGCGAGCGGCCATGCTTTCTGGGGGGCGTAGTCCTAGGTACATTTGAAGGAATACGCGAAGACCGGTGATCTGAAGGCTCTTTGTAGTCATACCTGCGACGGCCAGAGCCACCCCGGCCATTCTCTGCTGGTGGCGGCGAACGTGAGAAGGCTCTCCTAGGCAGCACGATTGAGACATTCAGAACGGCACCGTCTAATTGGGCCTCGTGCATGTGCGATATCGCTGCTTCTGCATCTGCAGGGTCGTGATAAAGAATATAGGCCGTGCCTCTATTTGTCATGACTGGTGGTGTAAGCTTATACGCATTTATACCACAAGTCCAGAAATTGGGTACTTACAAGCTCGGTTCATGGGAAGCTCAAGACTCTTGATATCACCAAATGAACCAAAAATCTCTCTAAGGTGGGCTGTGGTGACATTCTTGGTCAATTTTTCAACTATGATCTACGAGGAAGTTGGCTGTCAGTAAGTTTTTGGAGAGAGGGAGATGGAATAGGTACGATAAAATAAGAACAGACCTTTGAACTTCTTGGAAGCCCACTGCTTGGACTCGGTGTACGGCTGTAGCTCCTATTTCTGTACCATCGAGAATCACGGCTTGGGCTGCGACTACGGCTCGGGGATGACGTCCGAGAACGCGACGGAGACCGAGACCAGCTTTTCGAACGACGTTTGTCGCGGCGGTCATTGTCATACTGAGCGGATGGACTCCGGCTGACGGGCCTTGGACCTCCTCGAGGGGACATCGAACGCCGTGGTCGTTCTTTGAGTGCTTCGAGATCCATCTCATGCATTGAGCGACGTGGCGATCGGCCTTGAGGTGACCTGGAAGACATGATGTGGAAGTGACAAAAAGCACTTGGAACAGACGAGCATGGATAGCGTGAAGACGATGCCTAAACAGTGACAATGAAATATGAAGAGTAAGCTGCGATCGGGAGAGAAGATTGGCCCAATTCCACTGCAGGGGAAACCATACACTTAGTATTGGATGTCGGAAGGGGTTGTTAGGCGAAGGACGTCAGATATCTACGCATCTATCTACTAAAGCGGTTTGTCCATTAGCTAGCCATCATATAAGGCGAAATTCACACATTGTAACCATTTAACTCAATCTTGGACCTTATTTTTTAGTTTATCCTCTTCTCTGAATAGATTGTATAATAGCGCCATCGTTAAGATTAACATACAATATGATACTGGTTATGAAATAGGTACAAAAATAGATCATCTAGATTATCATTTAATTGAGGCCTAAGGATCTGATTTTGCAGGCTTTCCCCATCGTTCATATTCTTCGCGGACAGCATCTGTAATTTGTCTCTGCACTTGCTCAAGCGCATATCTAAAATGTTCCCGCTTCACGTCCTGTTGTTGGCCAGTCTCCTCTTCCTCATCTAATGCTGCATCACCTGCAGTTTCGCAAATGCTCACAATTTCCGCCCCTGAATAACCATCAGTGAGTTTGGCTAACTCCTCCAGGTCCACTTCGGGATGGACCACGGACTTGCGAAACCAGATGTTCAGAATCTCCTTTCTCGCGTCAAAATCTGGCGGGCCAATATACAAAATGTTATCCAGGCGACCCGGGCGCATCAGAGCTGGATCAAGCACGTCGGGCTTGTTTGTCGCAGCAATGACCAAGACATTTTTCAATTCCTCGATGCCATCCATTTCATTTAGTAGAGTGGTGAGCACATTGACACCTCCGTGAGATGAATTTCTTCGTGAAGCGATCGCATCGATCTCATCGAAAAATATGATACTCGGCCTCGCAGATCGAGCCTTTCGGAAAATTTCACGCAAAGCTCGTTCTGACTCGCCGACGTACATGCTCAAAATTTCAGCACCCTTGACTGCCAAGAAATTGAGACCTGCTTCGGTAGCAAGTGCTTTCACCATTAGCGTCTTAGAGCAGCCCGGGGGACCATAGAGAAGTATCCCCTTTTTACTCTTCACATTGAGTCGTTTCATCCGCTCGGGGAACTGCGTGAAATGTCAGCGAGTCAAGAGGAGCGCTAACGGGCCATTACTTACTTTAAGAGGTCTTTCCACGGCCTTTTGGAGACGCCTCTTGATATCATGCTGCCCGCCAATATCTGTCCACCTGACTTTCGGTGTTTCTAGGAAGACTTCTCGCATGGCCGTAGGACGAGTTTCCTGTAGAGCTAACATAACATCCGACTCCTCGATATCCAGATCAACGAGCTCAACACCTGCCACCTGGTCAGGGGTTGATGTAACGTCGCAGGGCCAAGTCGGCGAACGAGAGTGACATGACTGCCTCTGCCGCGCCTTACGGCATACAAGCTGAAGTAACGCAAACAAATCAGCTCCGACATAGCCGTGCGTTTTCTCTGCAATCATGTCGATGAGCGCCTCGTTCAATTGGCGTGATGAGCTTCCACAAATAGCCCGCAAGATTTCAGCTCGGTCTTGCGCTGTGGGTACCTGCATTTCAATCTCGATTGCCAGACGGTGGGGTGTCCTGAGTGTGTCATCGACGTCGTTAGGATGGCGAGTTGCCGCCACAACCAGCACAAGAGCACTTTTGGCCAGATCTAGACATTCACATAGTACTGATGTTAAAGATTGAGAATCTAGCGACGCTCGTTTAGGAGCAATGAAGTCGAGCTGATCAATTATGATGGCACTTGGCTGGCAACGTACTGCCTCTTGAAAGACATTGCGAACCTTAGCTTCCGCATCACCAATGTTTCGGCTGAACATGGATGAACCGAGACTAAACGTCTTTTTCCAACCTGCAGCTTGTATCTGGTGCAGAAGGGCAGATTTGCCTGTCCCCTTAGGTCCATATAGTAGGATACCCCTACTGTGCTCATAGAAAGATGGCATTCTGAATTTTTGCACCAAGTTGAAATCAGCAAGACTCTCATTGATGCTGTCGATCTGGCGAGACAATCCTCCTAAACCGGAAGGCTTTACTTGTATTGCCGCTGGCGCCTCTTCTGGGACGCCATCAAATTCATCGTCGATCTTGATTTCCGAGCTGTCGGTAAAGCGAAATAGAGTGTTCGCAGGATTCCTAGTCGCTGTCTTTATATTGGCAACTTTGAAACTTCTTCGCTGCCCTATTAGCTCCACGTCGAAAGTCAGACCAACAGCGACAAGTTCGCATCTCGAAAGAGGAAACCGCAAAGCAAAGGCCCAGTGGTCTTTTTCCTTGGGCGGAATGGGGCCGCCGTATCTCGTGAGGCGATCTACATCAGAGCATTCTGTAATATAGACGCGATCTATTCCTTCCAATAGATCTTCGGCCCTGTTGATAGATATCTTTTCTCCGACTTTTATTTCATAACAATCTTGGAATGTCCTCGAAGTTTGCACGACGGTACTCTGTATATTTTCGGCTGCGGTCCAGGCTACGGCGGTTTTTGGGCTTCCGCCGGGCGTGTTCACACTGCAAATGTCTCCTGCTCGAAGTTTGAGCGCGGCTAGGGACGATGATGAGAGAGAGATACGGAACGCATCCTTATGGTCACTCCTTGCTTGTTTTGACAACGGTCGAACAGTAAAGAGACGAGCGTCAGACATTTCAAGTGACAGAACACCGGGGGTTCACAAGAATATCAGTCTCACTCCAACTTTCGCTGAATCCAATGCCTGTTGACTTGACGGGACCAAGAAGGCAGATTATAAGATTGGACTCCTTCAACTTCTTTTTTCCTTTCCTTAAGTGTAAGTCCTGACATGGTCATTGTGCACATAACGAAGGAATTGCTGTAAGACATACTATAGTTCTGGAAAGGAGAAATAAAATTAAAAAAAATAGAAAATATAAAATCATGAAATCACCTTGAGGTACTGGGTTGACTGGTTAAAGTCTGCATAATAATGCAAAATGTTCTACCTTACTTCTATCTTACTCTATTTACAATAAAAACTTTTAATATTCCTTAAGGGAACACAGATTTCGTGATTAAGTAATACTTCCGGGTACTAATATCAACTTGTCAGGTGGGTCTGCTTAGAATAGCTCCGCCTTGGTCAAGCAAAAACGCTGGTTGTATGAATGTAGATTGCGGATTGTGTCTCAAAAACTGCTTCCATCAAGGAAGCCTGGTCTATGGAGATTTTCTTGGTTTATGCTTTAATATCAGAAATTCAAGTACTTATTTTCTTAGCCATACTTACATGAACGGTGCCGCGAAACTGAATTTGGTAACTCTTAACGCCAGGAATCAAAGAACAGATAGACCAGAGGATTGAAATACCGCCTAGCATATCTCAGTTGATGACTATGATAAAATTGGCAGATTTCAACTGTAACGAGGTCTTGGTCGCATGAAGGGTCTCTGGAGTGATTAACAACTGAAAGTATGGTAAAAGGAACAATGTCCCCCTGTGTAAAGGGTTGAGTTGAAAGATGACGCCAAACGAAAGGGAGCCCGAATTGGATTGAAGAACGTTAGGAACGAAAGCGCATGCCTAACAACATTTACCGCCAGTACTCCCAGACGTCCCCGATCCGTGATGGTCTATATTGACCCCCTGTGACCCCACTTGTTCAGACTTCGATGTATCCATGCCCTTTTTGATGGCAGAGGCGAGGCTGTAGAATGCTTTCTCGATGTTGATGTTGTTCTTGGCTGACACCTCAAGGAATGGGATGCCTAACTCATCAGCGAGTTGTTGGCCTTGTTCTGTGGAGACGGCTCGCTTTTCCTCCCAGTCGCACTTGTTACCAATGAGGATTTTGTGTACCCCTTCACTTGCATGTTGCTCAACATTTGAGAACCACGTACGTATATCTGGATAAAGTCGCAGCAGCAGTCAGCGTCAAATCACTATTTGAGAGTGGAAGAAACGTACTTTGGAAGGAGCGTTCATCCGTGACATCATATACAAGAAGTATTCCCATGGCGCCTCTGTAATACGCTGTTGTGATAGTTCGAAATCGCTCCTGACCTGCGGTATCCCATATTTGAAGCTTCACGCGTTTGCCGTCCAGTTCAATTGTACGAATCTTAAAGTCGATTCCAATCGTAGTGATAAATGAGGGGGTGAACGAATCCTCACTGAATCGCAGAAGACAGCATGACTTCCCCACGCCGGAGTCCCCGATCAACAACAGCTTGATCTATGACCACCAAAGCGATTCTCGGTTATCAAATAATCAGATTAAGAGAGTGGATTAAGCTTACCAGGAAGTCATAATTTCTTGTGCCAGCCATTGTGGTATCGTGGAATGGTATGAACTCAACTTCAAGAGAGCCGATATTTGGGTACGATTTCGATCGATATTACGGGGATGAACCTCCGTAGTGGTCGGTAGAACAACTCCCCTATCAAGATAATCGTACTTCCCCCGCCCGTCCTTCTTACTCTTGGTGAGTGTCCACAGAGAAGAGGCAGCCACCAAGAGGTATCAGGACTTTCGTCGGATTGGCGAACGTTGAGGAAATTAAGAAGATAGATTCCTGATCTGAAATATCTTGAGATTCCTGCCTGGCAGTCGACTGATCCTGTCCCGAAACTCTAGGCCCGAAATGATAGATAACTTCCAAAATATTCAACAGATTGGGTGAAAGATTACAGGCTAGTGTTATGTGGTTAGTCGGCAGCAAGGTAAGTCATCCAAAGGGTTATCCAGGGGGGCTATAACAATTCTGAGGAAGTTGTAATAGTGGTTTGTACCTACCTCTCTAGAAGCTGGGAAAATATACCTTGCTGACTACAACCTACATGTACAGATTAGTGCCATATCTCCAGCTTTTGCTCCACCAGTAGTCTAGATAGATTTCTATGTACATAACTCATTTTATATTCTATCTAATGAACAACTCCTTGCTTGCACTTAGGATCAATACCTCTCTATAACTAGTATGGATACCTTTATGATATATTAAATTATAACTTAATTGCAAATATTTAGGGGGTGCGTAATCCTAGGACCTATTAAAAAGCCACTACTGATAATACTCATTATCCCTTTTAATTAAGCGTAGCATACCCTTTCCAATACTTAGTCACTGATGGGTGATGTGCTTTATGCATATACCTCCACGAAATCCCCTTGCAAATTACCATTATAGGTTTATATTTTAGGTCTTATATGTAGAGAGATTCCGTGACACTCTGAGAAGCTGGGCGGATGTGAATTCATCTTATTAAGCCTAATATACAAAAGAGCAACCAGTATACTGTTTCTTACTTGATCCATCGAGAATATACCCATCCAATCCTACTTACAACCTGGGTTTGCCTCTGTATTCCGATATGTATATCTAGCAGGTCACCAATGTCTTCTTGAAACTCACGGAGATCAGCTCCTCTCAGAACTGTTGCTGCTTTTTGTAGGAGAATATCTGCACCACAGACTAGAAGGCCATGGTCTTTATAAGTTAGAACACCGCTATCAGTCGGTGTTGACAGGGTCAAAGTACGGTCGACATCCCTAATTCCAAATCAGCACGGATCGTTGGGTTGGCTCCATTTTGAATACCGCAAAGCATGTCGCAACTCATGTTTTCGCCTTCCTACTTGCAAGCCCTTGCGACTGCCGAAGACACCAAATGCCCACCTCAGGAACGCGTACGTGACCATGATCCCTGGGGTGAGGCTCACAAAACTGGCGCACGTCAGCTCTGCATGGGGTCAGTTCTTGAGAAACAGCCCATACCCGAAAACAAGCTCCTGGCTTTTCAGCAATGAATCGATTCCACCAATCGCTATTTCAACATCCACCTTCGTTTTCTGAATCTGGATCAGAAGAGCCCTTACTAAATCACCACGTACAGTTCCAATGAAGGGCTTCCGCAGATCTTTTTCGTATGCTCGTAGTACTGGGGTCAGATCACCCTCTCGAATCCTCGTGGTGAGGGTCTCAATCTGCTTCGCACCAAGCCCTTTCTCCGATTCGGGTTGATCGAGGACAAAATCAAGCACCATCCGCTCTAAGCTGGCCCTATCCGCCTCGAGACTATTCTTACTCATTAGTGCAATCTCGCTCTTTTCGTCATGTCGAATAGTCCCGATGAGTCTCCGCGTAGGCTCAACGATCCAATTACCCCAAAATTCACAAGCAGTTGATCCGATGTTGGAAATCCATCTTATGAGCTCGTGCTTCCGACTGCTTATCAATCTCAGGAAAGTGCTCGTCGAAAGCACCCCCACTGACAGCGGCAGCCAATAACGTACCAAGCATGAGGGACGCCCATGGTGATTGATTGCCCGCCTTGAAGAGGCGCTATAATCTGGCAATAATTCATCCAGTATATTGAAAAGCTGCGTGATAACATAATCGGGCGACTGGGGGAATTTTGTCATCTCCGATTGATTTCGAACAACTTCCCTTTCGACTGCGGTAAAAATTCTCTCCTCAAGCTCATATTCTGTGCCTTCATGTACCACCCTTTGCAAGAGAACCTTCAACGTGAGTACACCCCTGAACACAGCATCACGCAAGCGGTCATCAGTGGCGGACTCTGAGTCAATTTCTGTTTTGAGTATGGAGCATTGCCCCATGAGAAGGCCGATGCCGCTGGCGTTTCTCGTTCGCATCGCTTCCAATGCTTTGCATTTTTGTCTCATCTCAGACCTATGCGCAGTAAATGAAGAAAACAGCCTTGCGCGCAGCGAAAGCATCGCGCGTGGGTCAAGGCATCGGTACACTATGTCGTAAAATCTGGCCCACGAAACAGATGCTGTTGGGTTGACAGCTTTCCGGATACCGCCCTCTCCCGTGTACAAAAGAGACCGTTTCAGGAAACGCCATAGTCGATCTGGGGCCATCTGGACTGCGTATGCTCCGGTATACCAATTTGATCCTGAAACATCGGCCCAGTACAGCACCTCTTCACCGATACTGTGAGTATGTTCTAGAAGAACATTGATGGTTATGCCTAAAACCTGCAAAAATGCCTTCGCAGCCATGATCCACGAGATATCCAGCACATATGCGATAGTTTCATCAGGCAATTGCTGTCCCTTGAGTAGGGAATCAGGGAACTTGGAAATCAAGGCCCTAACCTGATCGGCTCGTAGTAACGGTTGAGATACAGATTGCACAGAAAGTGACTGGATCAATTTGAGCAATGTCGCTATATCCTTCGAAGCTTCATATGGGTATTCAGATAGTATATGGGTAGGACTAGGCAAATCATCATTGACTTTCTGTTGCACTCTGTCGAGCTCTGCGCTTAAGTGATGAATGTGACTACTGATTGTGAGCACATTTCAGGACTGGTTGCAGCAAAAGTGACAAACCGTTTTATGATGATCATAGTGTATCTGTGTGTGTGCAATAACTCCGCGAGTTATGTAGACTACAGTCATAATAACAAAGCTTAAAAGGTAGGACGACATGGCGTCATACATACTAGACTGCCTGCCTTATTCTCAAAGGCAAACAATACAAACTTCCAGTACCTGGATAGTACCCTACAGGTGAATGTGCTGCTATCCAGCGCTAGAATTATGAGTTTATCTCTGATCAAGTGGAGGGAATCCAATTATTGAATACTAAAGATGCTCTACTTATCGTGCTGTCGGGTATAAGAAATCAACGATTAAGAATCTCACCTACAGATTATTCAAGTTATGTTGTAAGGCAATATTGTTATGTCACATTGATATTGGAGTTATTCTGCTCTCCAGATGTCAGCAAGACTCTCATTGTACTTTTAAGATGATGGAAAAAAAAAAAAATAACTTGATATGTAAGGATCTATATCTTGGCCCGAAAATAATAAGGCAGAGCTGCACAGAGGTCTCTGATGATAGAAGCGTATAGGGATTAATAAAATAAGGTACTCCGCAGAGATTGTGGTACTTGTTTTCTACTGGCTGTAATCTACGCAGTGCCCTAGAAGGCTTAGATAATCTTCAACTTTTTGGACGGCCAATAATAGAGTAACAGTTATAGAGAGCTTTGGATCTCAGGGGTGAGAAGGGGCTAGGCAATAATTTGCGAGCCTAAACAGAAAAAGTTAAGAAAAAGTCTCGCCACGCCGGCAATGGATATCCTGGCCGACCGTCCGGCGTGTTTAGTAACCACTAGCTCTCCCTCCTGAAATACCATCACACCCTCCAACAATAATTCTACCGGTACTCGAACTCCGTTTGCTTGTTTTCTTATTGATGGAAGAATAGATTTCAACGCCCAGCCGTCTCTCATACCAGGATACAGGTGCGATATCAAATACAATGTGAGTTGCTCCTCCCCTGTTACTGGGTTCGACCACAGTTTGGTCCTGACAATGTACAGGAATTCAACACTATACTCGATATCTCCTGGGACTTATTGGGAGCAATATGAGGAAGTTTCCCGACATAATGCACATCTCAATGTTGTGGAGAGACTTTGGTCCGCGTGGTATGCCTGGATGCAAAATGATGTTCTTGCAACAGGCATCATGTCATTTGTGATGCATGAGATTGTCTATTTCGGCCGTTCTCTTCCCTGGATATTCATCGACACTTTGGGCTTGTTTAAGAATTATAAAATCCAGAATGTAAGTGAATTCGATCTCAATGCTTATCGCAAGGCCCTAACTTGCTACTCAGAATAAAATTCCTTCACTTAGGGAGCAATGGGATTGCGCCAAGTTTGTCCTTCTTAGCCACTTCACTGTGGAACTTCCGCAGATTTGGTTGGTTTCTCGATTTAACCGGACTCCATGTTTGTTTCTAACAGTATGTCCGCAGGCTTTTCCACCCCATGGCTCAGTTCTTCGGTCTGTCTACGTCGGTTCCTTTTCCCTCTGTTTGGACCATGATGTACCAGATCGCCATTTTCTTTGTTCTTGAGGATACATGGCATTATTTCTCTCATCGCGCCCTCCATTGGGGCCCTTTGTACAAGGCTATCCATAAAATACACCACCAGTATTCGGCACCCTTCGGTATGGCCGCCGAATATGCGTCGCCTATTGAGGTTATGATTCTTGGGTTTGGGACCGTTGGATGCCCCATTCTTTGGTGTGCATTGACTGGCGACCTGCATATCTTTACGATGTATGTCTGGATTGTCCTACGACTCTTCCAGGCCATTGATGCGCACAGCGGCTATGAGTTCCCTTGGAGTCTTCATCATTTCTTGCCTTTTTGGGCTGGAGCTGATCATCATGATCTTCACCATGAGAAATTTGTCGGCAACTATTCGAGTAGCTTCCGGTGGTGGGATTATCTTCTCGACACTGAATACACGCCTGAAGCTCTCAAGCGCCGGAGGGAGGGCAGGATTACAAAAAAGGCTCAGTGAGCACTGCTGTCATTAAACCATGCCAGCCTTTACCCTCCTGCTTGGGACGCATGCCAACTGCTTTATGGTCCTGTGCTATAGGTACCAGTTTGAGAGGGAATCATCATTTAATCCTCTTTTGATATCATTATTATATCATGTGTGATGACTGTGGTTGCTAGGTACATGAACCAACTTATTTAACCTAGCAGTCATTCCATCTCATTTATTATTTTTAGTGTTCTGATTATAATCTAGTGTTTCATTAATTGTCTTCTTTTAATGTATATATATCAATGAGTTGACATGATATAGATAGAGAATAAACATACAGGCTCCATGCTCTACTGATATAGTATTTATAGACCTCTTACTTAGGTCTAGTACTGTAGTTGTATATAGTACTAGAATACTAGATTATCTAGTTTCTAACTCCATATCTCTTTTATTAACTTTTATATACTTGAGGTACCTAGCTATGATATAGCCCTTACTGTCACTGGCTAGAGGCCTTAGAAATCTATGGCCTAGATTTGAATGGTAAGAAATTATTAAAGAGTTCTAACTAGGGCAGCAGCAGCTAAATATAAAAAGGAGTATATAAATAGTAAGGATAGGGTAGTGATACAGCGACACCCTCTTGGATAGGGTAGTGATACAGCAACACCCTCTTGGATACAGCGACACCCCCCTTACTAAATTAGGTAGGTAAAAGTCATGTGATCATTGCGAATTCAACATGGAACTCAGCAGAGGATAAAAATAATTTAATTTATCATATAAATTTAACACAGATTAGCAGAGGATCAAAATAATTTAGTTTGCTATATAAATTTAATAATAGGATTCACATTTTAACTCCTTCTAATTATATAATCTAATCATGCTTGATTTCCTCTAACCAGGGGCCTCTACTAAGAGTCTAAGAATTAGATGATGCTAGTTACAATATCACCTCTACCCATCACTATGCAAGTATATCTATAGCCCACATCTTCCTTATTAGTATTAATATCTGGGCTTTCAATATCTTAAAGATAGGTATTAAAAGTCACTATAGCAGGCAATTACAAGCCTAAGATTATTAATACTATAGGAAAATGATATCTTTAACTTAATTACAATGCCTAAGCCCTGAGCCTAAGGCTAAAAACACTGATCACATGCCTAGGAGAATCCACTTTTGCAGTAATCACATGACTATTACCTACCTAATTTGGTAAGGGGGGTGTCACTGTATCCAAGAGGGTGTTGCTAGGCTGGCTGTTGGGAAGGGAAGGGAAGGGAATGGGAATTCCCACTGCTAGGTCCCCTCCCATTTTACCCTTAGTTATGGGAATCCTATCCTAATACCTTAGTTCTATAGGAGTCCCTAGAGATTAGGGATGAGAAGGGAATCTTCCTCCCTTCCTATCTTACCTATTATTAGGAATTCTGTTATGGTAGATGTGCTCATATGGTATTGCATTCATTCTTAATGATCTTCTAAGGTACAACTTTATCTAGAGGACAGAGGTAACCATAAGTCCTTATATAATACTATATATACTAGCCCTAGAAAAAGGCAGCATCCTTACTATGGTATAGTCTAGTAGGGGTTAATAATAAATATAAGAAATAAAATATATAAGAAAAGGTATTAGGTATAGGAATACCTTTATAATAGCAGGCCTTGTAGTTATATAGTAAGGTTATTAGGGAGTAGCTAGGTAGTAATAGATTACTAGGTAAATAGTATTTCTATAAGTTATTTAAACTATTTCTTAATATTCTATAATAGCTATCTAGTATCTATAGTATACCTTTATAGCCTAGGCTTACCTGCTATAGTGAAGGCTTCTATTAATCTATTAGCTAATAGTCCCTATAGGAGTTCTATTTATTTTATCTTTAGCTTTAGTATAGAATAAAGTCCCTTAGGCTATATTATAGATAGTAAGGTAATCTTTCTAGGTGGGATTACCTTAAAGATATTATATATATTATTATATGCCTTAACTTTTATATTTCTCTATACTATATAGCACTTAATAC